AAATTTAACTTTTAATTTTTCAATTACTTTTTTTTATTAACTTAACTTTTAATTCAATTAATTTCATTATACATTAACTTGTATTTTAACTAAGTTAAATTTTCAAGGTTGTTAACTTTAACTTAACTTAGTTAAAAGAAAAAAGTAACTTACCCAACCCTGCTATTTAGTAATTTGCATGCCAGGAAATTATCTTTTCTATTTATGTACAAAATTATGTACTCTATTTCAATACTCTTCGTAAAAAATCTAGGGCTAGTCATATTCAAATTATAATTTACCTTGGATTCACCTCCCGAAGTTTTACCACCTAACACTTTTCGAACTTTTTGACTAGCAGCATTTAACGCAGCATCAACAATGCCAACTGCACTTCTCGGACCATTGTAGTCTTCCGGCTTTTTGTCAAGTCCGAATATCTTGATTGTTGGGAAACCACGAACGCCGTATTTACTTCCCAGAGATTTGTGTTCATCAGCATTTACCGCGCCAACTTTTACAACACCCTGTTAGGATAAGTTAAAGGTATATGTAACAAATGAGCAAAAAAAGCCATATCTGGTCAGTCAAAGAAAGATTTTAACGCTTATTATTTTTTGTGTAAATTTTATCATTTTTAATTCAAATAAAACTGTAAAATTCATACAAAATATTATTAGGCACCAAGATCTGCTTTTATTGGATATCATTTTCTTTACTCATTTGTATTGAACATTTCCTAGTTGATTTACTTAATATTATTTAAAGATATATGTATGTATGTTCACATGTATGCTTCGTATATATATTTATATAGAAAAATTAAATATGACGAGTCACCTTTAATGCAGTAGCTGCTTTGTCATACTCCGGCGTCAACTGTTGACAGTGTCCACACCATGGCGCATAGAATTCAACCACCCAGATGTGATCACTATTTAACACTAAATTATCAAAATTATTTGGCCTAAGATCAACGACGGCTGAATTGGACGCGTACATGCAGTTTGCTCCAGCGACTAACAGAAGGACACCTGCAAGGAGAAAAGTATGCAAACAAGATGTATGGTCCATAGGAAGACGTGTGTCCAAATTTACGTATTTAAACGCTATTTAAGGTACGCGGACAGGCTGTGTGGGAGCATAGGAGAATGATGACGTTTCTCTCGCGGAATGGGTCTCGAGGAGACACTTGTTGCGATGTCGTTCACACAGAACTCCAGCGATATCACCGGAATTCGTGGCAACGTCAAGAGCTATCAATGTCGCCGATAACCGGCGTCCTGCGCTGATAATTCGGCGAAACGTACGCACGTGACTTACCTAAGAGCCTCGACATTATTCCGTGGATTGTACAAGCGACTTGAGACATTGCACCAGAAGTCATTCACATCCGCCGAGAGTCGCAGCGAGGTGAACGAGCGCGCTACACCACCTCCGCACAATGCTCCGACCGCTCTGACGTTCGCCCAGTTGCGCTAGCGGCATCCCGGCCGCTGACAAGCGACTTTTCGTGGACTATTCCGATTGGCTCGCCGCCGTTTCACAAGTCTTCGATGTATCGCGATGTATCAAATCGCGAGCAAAACGCGCGTGCAGATTTGAATTACTCGTCGCATTTTCCTTTCCTTACTATTTTCGATATCCGATTGAAAATTTTCTTCGTGAAACTCTCACGCGAAAAAATCTGAGAAATTCTTTAAAAAGTTATTAAAATTAATTAGAAGTGCTAAAAAATTCTAAAATTTACATAAAAATTCTGAGAAAAATTTTTATCAGAGAATGTAGGTTATAATTTAGTTTAGTACATAAAAAATGTTATTAAAGGTACTTTATGAGTGTATTTGTATTGTATTTTCGCGTAATGTTTTAATTTAAGAAAAGAGATAAGGAGATTATTCAGATTATTCGTTTGTCTGAGAGATTCGATAATTATAGAGTATGTAAAATTAAAAAAAAGATTGTCACAAATCTTGAAAATTATATTAAAGACATATTAATCACGAAATTTGAAAATTATATTAGAGAATGTAGTATATTTAAATTACTATCTGAAAAAATAGTTAGAAATATAATTTAAGAAAAGTTGAGAGTTACAAGTCTTGAAAGTTATATTAAAAAATGTAATACATTCACAGACTACTTTATTATAAACTGCATAATAAATAAAAGAAAATATTTAATTTTAATTTAATTTAAAAAAGCGACATTATATATGTTGTTATGTAATAATCGCAATTTGTATAATAAATGATTTGCAAGAAAAAGTAATAATTCGAATATTACATATATGATAAATATTTTTGTTAAATAATGTATAGAAATAAAAACATTAAATCGTAATTTCTCTAATTATAACACTGTAGAATATAATATTATTATGTAAATAAAATAATTGTTTTCAATTTTTTGAGAATTAAGTGATCGACTGAAATTTAAAATAGAATCGTACAATTCGTTGTCTCATGTGTTATGAAAAAAATTACGATTTTTGCTCACCCTCATATTTATGCTATATATAATATATTTCCTTCATGTACATTATATCGGCGCATCTTTTTACATCTTTATTTGTATATAATCCTTGCGGTTATAAAAATGCATTTAATTACGAAATGAGTATAAAAATTCATTTGATAAAAAATTTTATCGATAGTTATTCAAAGCTCCAGCTTCTAGGCGATAATATCACGAATAAAAAGCGATATTCGTCAGCGGCATACCTACTTTAAATATCAATGATTATTGCTGTCATATTCGATCACTTCAAATTTGTCGACCACTTACGACATGCCGTTAGTTCACATATAGATAATCTTTTTTATTATTAATATTATTTTCGTTTGCTTCACTCGTTTCAATAAACGTCATAATATTTCAAATCATGTAATTACGTTCCAATCCATGAATCTATTTCTGTGCTGTTCTTAATAAAATTTGAAATAATGTAGAAACAAGTTTTTCAAATTTTCTATCGAATCTTTTATTTACATTTCAACATTATAGGCGTGAAGCAGACGAAAATTTCGAAATGAAGTAAGGTCGCAATTCGCGTACGAGACGGAAGGGAGTGTTACACTTGTAAATCGGCGGAAAAGAAACGAGGGGAAGAGAGTCGCTTAAAAAAAATGAACGCTATTTAGGAGTATAAGATTTTTCTTCGCAGAGAGGCTGGGAAAAGCCTGAGTGTTCTCCGCGACTTCCTCTTTAGCGTCTCGCCCTCGGTGCATGCGTTTGCTTCTTGTCATGCATACGCTTGCAAATCGGAATGTGCCGCTCCGCGGCGGACCGATTGAACTTCCTGCCACAGTGCTCACACTGGATGTAATCGCTGGTATCGCTGGGCGGCGGTGGCGGCAGATCGCTCAAATTTTCACCTGCCGCCAATCGTGCCTGCGTCTCCCTTGCGTAGCGGATCGCGTTGATAAATTCCTCGTGCTTGCGCCGCCAGTCCGGTTTGGTTTCCGGCTTCTTCGTTTTCGTCTGAAAACAGTATAAAACAGTATAAGTGCTGTTATTCTCCTTGAAGAAAACAAGCTTGGATTGAATCAAGTTTCGGCCTTCACAACATAAATTGGATAAATAATTCATTGGACTAATTCATTTTATGTATTAAAATTTGATATTACTGATGTTATCGAAAAATTATAACTTTCAGTCATCAATCCTTTTCGAAGAAATTCTATTTCTTAATACCGACCTCTCGTTTAGTGAAGCCTTTCTTAACGAAAGGCTCGAGTTCGGTTCCTCTGACTCGGTTCATCACCGGATCAAACTGCTTCCTCTTCTTGGTTGCCGTTTTCATGCAGATCTCTTCGTGAAGATCGATTCGATTCTGTGCAAAGCTACGTCCGCATGTTTTACACTTTACCAAGCCCTTCCTGTTATCAATTAATAACGCGAATAATTTTATAAAGATTTTTTTTAAAGATTAATTTTAATCATTAATTTTTACGTCTGTATATTATTCAATATTAAGAAATGATACGAGAGAGAGAGAGAGAGAGAGAGAGAGAGTTTTTTTTAAGTTCTTATTTTTTTCTAATATTTTATAATAGAAATTATATTAAATTCTATAAAAATAACGTCATGTTCACGTTTCATAACTGTTACTGCTGCTTATCAAAGTGGCATTTCTTCTCTGGTACAAATATAAATTATAAAAATTATAATTTTAATGATAATTTATATGTACTTTTATTTGACATAAATTATTATTTTCTAATAAAACATACAGAGATTACTAGAAAAACTTACGTGTCGTTAGTTGCATCTTCGTTGAAACTTGACGAGTTTGCAAGTTTGCCACTACTGGAAGAAGGTTTTTCTATAGTTTTACCTCTACTTTTACCACCTCCTTTCCCTATTCCTTTTCCTCTTTCACTTTCCATTCTACTTTTCGCACTGGAATCTTGAATTAAGTTAACACTGGAATTCGACGATGAGGTCGGCCGGTCTGAAGCACTGGAAGCTGTCTGTTGTTTCTGCAAATAAATAGGATTGTACGTATAAATTGCATGAACAAATATGAACTGCATAAAAACATACATCTATATATATATATTTATATTTGAATTTATATTTAAATACACCTTGAAACGTACGCATTATGTAAAATTTTTTTTATTATATAATTTGTTTTTCAATAGCGAAATAACAATTTAGGTTAACATATAATTATACCTTGTATAATTTAATTTAAATTTATTAATTGCCCTCATGAGTTCTTTCTTCCGAATCCAGCAATTAATATGCGAGTTTTCTTTTGATTTTTTGGCAGATCATATCTGCCAATTGACTCTGATTGCAATTGTTTGGGAAATAAATTGCACGACCGTGAGAAGATTATAGAAGTATGATTAATATTCGTTTTGCGCCAGACTGGTGTGTTCTCATTGCTAATTTATTTAAAATACATAAAATTTAATATTAACATATGTGTTAATATTAAAGAATGTTTTTAGACTTGTGCGGATTTTAGTTTGATTTATACAAGAGAGCAGCATGAAGTAAGCTATATTTTACGTTATTGCATTTGTAGCGATCAATTTCAACGATACGAAAATCTAATAAAAATGGATTATTTCACACAGCACCACTTGGCTCATGCAATAAAAATAATAAAATAAAAAACATTCGTATATCGAATTTTAACAAAAGAAAAAAAATCACTCTTACGTCGTTAAAAGATTTCTTCATCGGTGATTTTTTCGACATCGTGTCGTCTTCTTTCGATGATCGATCGTCGAAGTCGACCATGAAGGCGTCGGATTTCTTCGTTGATTCATTCGGCGAACCGTTTTGGAGAACGACGCCGTCAACTGTATCGATCGTTCCGGTTACCTTACTCCTGCTCGAACCCACACCTTTTGTTGATCTTCTCGAAGGTTTCGCTTCTTGATTCCTCGATTCTGCACGCTGATTCTGTTTTCATAATTACAATTTAATGAAAATAGTTAATCTGTAAAAAAATTTAATAGCCTATAACGAATAAAAGTTGCGTTTTACTATGTATAGTATAAGAAACAAAAAAAAATAACAGGTAGAAGCAAAAATATTTAAATAAATAAAAAGAAGGGAATAGGATGTTATAAAATTACCTTCATTACAAGGCAATCTTTAATGATTTAATTGATTTAACCCTTCGACTATATATTGAACCCCACTTAATTCTAAAAATCTTTGTCAAATTATTCAATTTTCTTACACATCTGCAAAGGGGATTATTTTTATTAAAATATACTTAATATTCATCCTTTTTTATATGAATTATGTCATTTTGGTTCTCCTTGAAATTAATTAATATCTTTTAATTAGCATCCGTTAAATGGGCTTTACAAACCCAGCGTTACAAATTTTGGTATCAGCTTCGGAAGATTAAGTGATTAGTGATTTTTTAATAGTACTCACCGTAGGGGCAACATCAGGACTTTTTGAGGGGGATGAAGGAGTGCTTCCTCTTGTCGTTCGCGCATTTATTTCGCGCTGCTTTGTCGCAGCTACATCGGGACTCGGGCTCTTCGTGATCCTGGATACACAGGATTTAATTTTAGTCAGTCTCGCGGGATCGGTCCTGTTTTTTGCTGCATCGATTGCGGGACTCGATCTCTTCGCATCGACATTCTCTCGCGAGGCCGAACGCTGATTTGCAATCGCTGACCTCGATTCTTCCGTAGTGACTGATTTATTTTGTTCGCTATCGATCAATTTTCGAATATCCTCGATGGACCGCAACGGCTTCACGGAAAACGTAAACGTTTCTTCCGACTCTTTCGCAATGTCGCGATCGAGACTTTTGGAAGACCTTATGTTTGAGACTGTTTCGTCTTTACGAAATCTTATATTTACGAAAGAACAATTCTCATCCTTACGCGCTTTTGTGCAACTCAATTTTGGCCGTTCTTCTTGAACCTCTTTCTCTGAATCGGATTCAAACAATCGCCGCTTGCACGCTGGTGATTGAATTTTCGTAGATCTCTGTTTGCTTTCAATGGAACTTCCAAATCTTGTTGGCCTCTTAGAGGAACGAGTCTCCTTTTTGAGAATCCTTAAATCACTTTTACGCGCGACGTTTTTAGTTTTCAGATTTTTACCAATTGGAGATTTCAGCGTCGATTTTAAAATCGTATGATCCGTTACTTTACGAGAAGGGACTGTCGTTCCTTTCGAATCGATTGATTTTTTAACAACTTTTGTTTGCACGTCCATCGTTTGCAAGGAGATCTCTGGAGATGCCTGGAAGTTCGTCAAACTTGAACATTCAAATTCCGCGCCTATGGAATCAAATCGTCTCAACGCTGATTCCACAGAGTCCATCCTTTCGAGATCTTTTTTATATTTGCCCTCGCATTGAGTTTTGGAAAATTCACTTACGATATTCTTCGGTTCTGCGGTTTTACGTTTCACGCTCATTTTATTGAATTCCGCCAATTTATTCGCGACACTCTCGCGTCTGCGGTCTTCGACAGTGTACGTCGAAAATTTGAACGTGGAGCTTTGATCCGTTTTCGCTATGATATTCTGAGATGAGAAAATCTTCGGAGTGTAGATGCCACGAGAAATTTCAGCTGTTTTCCGTAAAGGTGAGACTCGCGGTGAAACCCTAGACTCTAAGTCGTGCCGCCTGCCACATTCTCCCGTCGGAGAAATCGTTTTCTTTGAAGTACTCGACTTCATCGGCGTAGTTTCGCGAAGGAAGACCCTTTTGCTTGTAATCCGATCAGCGGAGTTTGAGCGAATAATTTTGCTATAATCTTTGCTTCCTTTAGTCAAAGCAGTTTTGACTACCGTTTGATACTTTACGCCGATATCAACTTCATCTACCGATATATTTTTATCTTCATGTCTTTCTTTTCCCCGATTATATTTGTCGTTTGTAGACAAATTCCTGTCCTTCACAGCACCCTGTACTAGTCGCGCAGATCGTAAGCTTTGCGGTTGATCAAATTTTGTGCGTGCTCCTTTGGTCCTCCTCTCCGCGAAGTCGTACAAAATCGGCGAGACTGTATCGGGATATTTTCTCATCTTAGAAAAATCAGGAGATGTTACTTTCGGACTGCCAACTGCTCTACTTTCCGCAGAACGATTCCGCATGTAAATTGGAGATCGAGAACTCGCGCGCTGTTGGTCCTCACGTTTCGTGGATTGAGTCGCACTATATTTAACTTCATTTTTTGTGGATTGTTTCCGCATTTGAGAAGATATTTCATCTGTCCTGTTTCGATTTATGATACGCCGAGAACTTCCGCTCGTAGGACTGAAGCCGAGTTTATTCAAACTGATGCTTTTGTTCTCTCGACTGCTTTGACGACCCATGGATGTTTTTTCGGAGAGACCTCCCTTCGACTTGAAAACGCTTGATTCTAAAATGGACCCTCTCTCTCTATACGGTTTGCGAACGGGGTAGGTGATCGAGGTTTTGAATTTCGCTCCACTATTGAACGATTTCGTGTACGTTCCATCAAATTGTCGCTTCGATATTGGACTTGGCGCTTTTTGCAGTTTGTCGCGTTCAATACGATGATCCGTCATAGTAATCTCTTGAATGTCCATGTCAACTTCCGTCGGAGTGATACTTTTGCGAGAAAATTCTGGCGTAGCTCTTTTCCTACCTTCGATAGACGGTGATCTTGCTATTTGGAGAGACGAAGTTTTACATCGATTTTTCGATTGATTACCTCTTGCGGAGATTCGAACATTTGCGTTGCGTTTCGAAGGCGATTGACGAATCGAGCGCTGTTTTCCATCTTGAGACTTCATAAATTTACGGACCAGACCTGCTGACTGGAAAATATTATCGAATTCCAAACCGTACTTGAGGTTTACGATCGAGCTGGACGATGTCGCGGAGGTCTCCGAGATTTTCGACGATCTGCGAGTTTCTGTAATATTGCTGAAAACGTCGGTTTTCTTCAAAGCCTTTTTCACTTCGTGTTTAGCAACTGAAGGACTTGAAGTATGTCCATCTTTCGTAAAACTATTCTTTTTATCAATCGGAGATTTTATAGGTCGCCTATAAGAAGTATCTGAACTGCGCTGATTTAATAAACTTTTGGTAGAATTTGATCTCGATCTTGGTTCTATCAACATCGTTGTAGCGGATTTTTCAGACTCTTTGCAGAAAAATTGTGGATTCGTGGAGCGTTTGTTGCGCATAATTTCAGACAATTTAAATCCGCCGTATTTCTGATCGATACTCGTAGTGATTGCAGATCGTTCCTTGGTCTTTCCGTTTAACAGTCTTGGAGTTGCGCTTCGCTTCGATACTCTTCGATCATATGACGATCTAGGTTCACCAACTTTGCGATCAATGCTCATAGTTGTACCAGATCGTTTGGATTCTCTACGAAAGAACTGCGGACTTGCGCTACGTCTTACGAATATTTTTCCATCGGATGTCAATGACTTATATCTATTACTTCTCGGATAAATTCTCGAAGTTTCCGCCTTTGTAGCTTCTCTCGAAAAGAATCGCGGACTTGTGTTTCGCTTGCTCCACTCGGACGATTTAGATCCGACAGTTTCTCGATCGGTACTCATAGCTGTTTCTGGTCGTTTGGATTCACGACGGAAATATTGCGGACTCGTGCTTTGTCTTGATGAAATTTCTCTGTCATTCCATATCGATGATTTGGATTCACTCGTTTTGCGAGATTGTTCAGATTCACTGAGAAAGAAACGCGGATTCTCGCTTTGCTTCATTACCATTTCATGATCGTATGACAGCGATTTAGATTCCCTAGTTGCACGATCGATACTTATAGTCGTAGCGGATCGTTCGGATTCTTTGCAGAAGAACTGCGGACTGATGCTTCGCCTTTTTAATAGTTTTTCTTCATATAATGATGATTTAGATGGAAGAGATTGTTGATGGAGACTTGTTTGAACTTTCTTCTGTTGGAAATCGGTCATATCTCGTTTCCTTATTCCTTTGCTCCACTCGGGCGATTTAGATTTGATAGTTTCTCGATCGGTACTCATAGCTGTTTCGGATCCTTTGGATTCACGACGGAAATATTGTGGACTTGTGCTTTGTCTTGACGAAATTCCTCTGTCATTCCATACTGGTGATTCAGATTCATTTGTTTTGCGAGATTGTTCAGATTTACTGAGAAAGAATCGCGGACTTTTGCTTCGTTTCATTACTATTTCATGATCATACAGCGACGATTTAGATTCGCTAGTTGCACGATCGATGCTCATAGTCGTGGCGGATCGTTCGGATTCTTTGCAGAAAAACTGCGGACTGGTGCTTCGCCTTTTTAATATTTTTTCTTCATACAATGGCGATTTAGATAAAGAAGATTGTCGGCCAAGACTCGTACTTGTTTGAACTTCTTTCCGATCAAAATTGGTATCTCGTTTTGTTGATGTTCCCTCGCTCCATTCGGACGATTTGGATCCAATAGTTTCTCGATCGGTACTCATAGCTGTTTCCGATCGTTTGGATTCAGAGAAATATTGCGAATTCATGCTTTGTTTTGACGAAATTTCTCTGCCATTCCATAAAGATGATTTAGATTCATTCGTTTTGCGAGATTCATTAAGAAAAAATGGAGTTCTACTTTGTTTTGTTGACGTTTCTTGATAGAATAATGGCGATCCGGATGAATCGGACTTTCGATCGATGCTCATAGTCGTGCCAGATCTTTTGGATTCTCTACAAAAAAACTGCGGACTCACGCTACGTCTTATGAATATTTTTCCGTCAGACGTCAATGACATGTATTCATTACGCCTGGGATAAATTCTCGAAGTGTCTTCTGCCTTTGCAGCTTCTCTTGTTAAGAAGCTTCGCGGACTCGTGCGTTGGCCGAGTGTCTCAGTATCCGAACTTTCCCGTCGTCTCGAACTCATTTCGCCAACTATGCGAGTTCTAGTCGGCAGGGGACTGTTTGTATTTTCGAGAATCCTTTGACTGCGCTCTGAGGTCAGGCTACTTCCGCTTCGCGTGCTGGTTGGGGAAGTTCCGGCGACCTCGCTCCGTACTCTAAGAACGCACAGTCGAGAAAGCAAATGTAAAACGGCTTTGAAGCGGAATCGCTAAAAGTGAGGCGTGCTTTTTCTTACAGCAATCGTCCTTATTTTTGGCCCAGCGCCCAAGCTAATTAGCGCTAGTTGTTTTTGTTTGTAGTGGACGTTGCGCTAGTTATATAGTTTTCTCTCAGCCCGGTGTTAAATCTGCCCCGCGTGAATTGCGGTTAAATGCGACGCGTACGATGATAATTAAGCTTGGATGGTTTTGCACGTTTCCTCGGATCGGAACAGAGGCACTTGTTCACTCGTTTGCATACTTAGATTAATCAAATTAATTACTCTTCTCCGAATGCTCATTTATGCAATACGATTCTGCCAAATTAGTTATCCACCGTCTGTCCTTTTTTTAATATTCGCTCTAGTTTATGGCGATAAGGCGGGGGTTAGATAAACATATTAGAACAAAAACGATCATGTGATATTATGCTCTTCCTCAGATCTCTTTTTCCTTTTGAAAACTCTTTGCGAGCACATTGTTAGCGCAGTATATTTGTAATAGTCGAGGATAGCGATTGCAACTACGTGGCATGTAAATTAATTCTGGTAAGCAGCGGCAATTTGTTAGCGATTGTCGATGATCGAGATTCACAATTATTTATACAGCTACGTAAATAATAGATGTAGATCTATATTTTTACACTTCACTTTTACCGATAAATACGCGCATTTATCTTATAATTTATGTTGCAAGATATCTGCAAAAGGTCGATGCTAAACTTATACAATATATTAATGAGATTGAATAGATATTTAAAGATTTAAGAGTAGAATGCATTTACTGCTATTTCTAGTACAGTAGAAATATTCGAAAGAGTTCAACAGTCATTAGTTTGATAAATTGAAGCCTACATTCTTTTAGAAGAAAGAATGCAAACTTTCATTCATAGAACTAATAATTGTTGAAATTTTTCAAGTACTTTTACTGTACTAGAAGTAATAGTAAATGCATTCTGCTCGTAAATCTTTAAACGTTTAAACGTTTAATATGAATATTTCTACCTACTTGACCTTATTAGTTATTAACACGTTGTGCAAGTTTGGTATCGACCTTTGCGGACAGAGTGTACCAATATAGAAACCCAAAAATAAATGCGCACATTTATCAATAAAAGTAAAGTATTAGAATACGGGCTTTAATTTTTAATTTCAGGGATGTCATAACACATTAAAAAGTGATCTCTTTAATATTATATTATTTCACTACTTTACTTACAATTTCAGTTTCAATAATAATATGAGAAACGTTCTTACCTGGAATTGGATTTTGTCGGAATCACTTGTTCCGATCGCTTTCTTATCACCGTATTGGTCGAAGTCGCCTGTTTCGGCATGTTACTTCTTTTCGCGTTCGCGTTCTTGAATCGTTCGAGTCGTTCTTCCGCTTGAGACAATTTCTTCGTAACGTTCCTCTTCGAGAGCTTCTCGGGTACATCCACCATGAGGTATTCCGGAAACTCCTCGCTCTCCAAATCGTTCCTCACGCGATGCTTCAGAGTCTCGTCGAACCCCATTAGATGAATCTTCGCCATCATACGATTTCTCTCTACCGTCTCCTGATCCAACGCTTCTTCTTGCTGCATACAAGATATTAACACACAGATAATAAAAAAATAACAATATTCCTGAATCGTGCTCAGCAGAGTAACTGCTGCTTTGAATAAAATTATATACTCAAGGGAATACTTTTTCCAACTCTTTTAATTTTAATTTTGTGATTTTAGATATACACCGAGAAAACTGTCTGGTCGAATTAATTAGAATTCTAATTGAAAATAGACGAATCAGAATTTTCTGATTAAATCTATTAAAATTCTAGTTGAGATAAGGACTTGTTTCCTAAAAGATTTCAGAAAAATTGTTTTATGTAGGACGCAACATGAAATTGAAGATTAAGCAAAGTATTGACATTTCACGCACAACCGACCTCATTATCAGCTTCGTGACGATAATGTCCATTGGCGATGCGATTCTCGACACCGTACTCGTCCTCATCATCATGACGACGTATGGACGGGCCAAACGACTCGCGAACGATCTCTTCATGGTAAGAAACAACAGGCTTGCCGCCGTTAACGTTGCTGTTAACGTCCGCGCGCGACACGCGTTTCACAGACTGTCGATTCACCGTCACATTACCATTCCTCTGCGACGCCACGTCGTTTGTATTCGCTTGCTTTCGCAACTTGTTCTCAAGCGGTTCCAGCGGGTAGCTTCTGTCGATTCCCTTCACGGTAGTCTGCCGTCTCTCGTCGAACATTTGCCTCACCTGTACGATAATTAAGCTCGAACAATTGTTAAAGATTTCAAACGAGAAATTATACTCGAGATAGTCTAAATTTGCAATTAAAAATTGCATTCCCATTTCTTCGCGAAAGAAATAAAAAAATGGCATTTATAACATTTCTAAAATTGCTTCGAGAAATAAATCAATAAGCAACAAAACAAATGATTTATAGTATAAGTAGTAAACCAACTTGCTGACTTTTTCACTTACCTTACCACCTTGCGAGGTCGAGGTCGTATGGGACGCCGTCGTTGTCGTTGATGCGGTTCTGATCGGGCCGGAACCGTTGGAACCGGCGCTACTCCGCTGTACGACCTGATAGGCTCTCTGCTGTTGCTGGTCGTATAGCTGCAGCAGCTTCTGCTCCTTCTCCTGCAGCTGTTTCTGCTGGAAGCGAGCCTGTGTCACGGGATAATTCGCTTTGAGCATCGGCGTGTCACCGCGCAGAAATGCGGGCCGACGTTGCTCGCGGTTGGAACGTCGGCTCGCATGCGAGGGGTGCATGGTATCGCGGCAAGCTCTACTGCAGGCTATAGGAACGACGATGCACATACAGGCACCGGCGCTGCCTCATCGATTCACCTTTAACCTACATACGAGGGGGGTTAGTAAACTCATTATTATGCTAAAGCAGCTCGTTCGTCTCTTAACCCTGCGCCGCCCCGACGCTTTGGCTCTTTTACTCCCGAGGTGTATATTATTAAAGGTACTACTCTTGATTGTAGAGTTGTAAACTCGCGCGATTATGTAGTCGCGTGTTAAAAAGATAAGGTCCCAATTGCATTTATGAAACGAGTTGGCAAAAAAATAGATTCGTGCTGCTATTCGTTCTGTAAATTGGAATTGATTTTTTTTACAATTGTATTGATTTAATTATAATCGTATATTGGAAAAAGAAAGATTTTTCCGATGGGGAAACTATAGATTTAAAAAATGTGATAATACAGCATTTGAAATATACATTTTCATTGAATATTGTAAAGAAGTAAATTAAAATGGAACGATATTTCTTCAATACAGAAAGAACGGTTTTGCTATGTAACAATTTAGCTAAATACAGAATTAAAAATAGTTTTGTTGTATCATCAAAATAATTAAAGCACTCAAACTGGTTACTAGTATGTCAAAACTTTTTGCAGCATTATTTTAATGGTTCAACAAAATTAATTTCAGATCTATATCTATCTAAATTTGTAGATACTTGAGCAAAATCGTTCTTTCCGTGAAGGTTTAATAATTTTGTTGTTCTTTCAATAAAAAAAAACTATATTTTTATGATATAACGGCCTAAAATATTTGTAACGATTGAAATTTTGTATAACCGTTTTGGAAATAATGGAACAAGGATCAACTGCGGTTTAATAATCATGTACCTCCTAATTGCATATCCCTTCGATGATTGCATCGGCAATCAGCCGCGCCACTAATTGATTCATTCCTAATGAACCCGCCATATTGGACACTTTGCCTCTGTATACCATGCAGTTACAAGCGTAAACTCGTAAATTCAGCGCAAAGATCATTGATAATAATAATGTATTAATTGAATTTACATTCATAATTTTATAACTGGCAAATATGGTAGAAAATTTTTAGATGTATAAACTGCATTAAGGTGAATTATATTGAATTCTAGATAACCATCTTACAATATGTATATTTATTTAATGTTAGATTAATTCAGTATTGTAAAGCGAAAATACTTTCCAGGTATAGGAAATAAATTCCCTAACCACAGAGAGTTAAATTGTATGCATTATTGACTGTATAATAGGATTACCATTATTTCTTTGACCCAATAAATACCTGTAATGTGTTGCATTAGTAAACGGTAATGCACACTCGCGAGATTATAATGATATGAATAGTAAATATGATAGCTATATTTTCATTGTATTCTAGTTAAATATAATTTAATAATGATTCAATCTGTTAATATAACTGATTGCTAATAAAGAAATGACAAAAAAGATAAAAGTAAATAAAAAGACTTAAATGGCTGGATAAAAATCTTTCAATGCCTATTAGAGCCGCGACACATAATTACATAATTTTATTGTTTATTAATAAATTGATTATTACACATAATATGCTGTGTCGGCTCTAATAGGCATTGAAAGATTTTTATTCAGATTATCTCTAGAGAGCCTTTATCTTTGCTCTATTGTTTAAATGGCTGGGTTAATTACTTGAAAATAGATAATATGCGAATTGCGCTTCAGAACTGCGCTCGTTATGTACATGCGATAGAAGCGCATGCGAGTGGTTTTTAGGAAGGATCGTGAATTGGGTGTCGATTTAAATCGCCTGGGCGCACGCGGACTACCCGAGTTTCGTGAAGTCGACGACTCCGACATACATGACCGTATATAGAATAAGCGATGTTCCCGTTTCTCCTGTGTACCTCGCTTCGCAGTTTCTCCTTTTCCAACTTCAGGATACTGTCTTACGAAATGCATGACGTTGACCCGCTTTAATGATACGATCACCTACTTGCGTTACCTTTCCGTCTTCGTTAAAACGTGCTCATTAAATGATAATTTTGCACTGTATTGATACGGTGAGCCTGATTTAAAAAAATTTATGGTACTCATTCATTAAAGACGCAATTTGAAAAATTAAGAGAAACTAATAAATTTTGGACTGCGGTTATTTTTGTGTTCTCGGATCTTGTTGTATCTTGTGACACATTTACTTCATTTTTGAAATTTGTATTGAGCTTTTAAAATCAATATACCATAGTCTCCAAATTAGGAAACGTAGAGTCGTGTTCCTGAGCCGCCCATGATGTTTTCATGTCCATGGAGACTCCGCGAGCGCCCAGCTGTTGCGACCGGATATGCATTTCTCTTTGGGTTCTCAGTTCTTCCGAATGTCGTCAGTCTTGTGTTTGTCCTAAGAGATCCTCACACAAACTCTTTCACATTGAAAACTCAGGCACGATTTCATCCAATTACGAATCATTTATCTTAATTTTTTCAAGCAGTTCATAGATTCAGTTTTATAGAATTTGTTGGTTTGCAATTCACATTTTTAATTTGATTAAGTCATGTCTTTTAAACCTTTTAGAAAAATTTAGAAATGTAAAAACTACGTGCATGCACGACGTATGCCATTTTAGGTCTAATATAGAATTTCTAAAAAAAAAAGAAAATATATGAAAAGGAACTTTTTGCTAAAGTAGTCACACAAGCCTACTTGTACTGACGATAAATAGAGGTCGCAGTATGAGGCGATATGTCAAGTTCACAATTTCTTCTTCTCCAACTTCGCGAAAGAGAGAACTTACGTGTTTGAAGCAACTTTCAACGTTATTAAGGTTGCTTACCGATATCTTAAAAAATTTGCGTGCGATGAAAATACCTTCTCGATGTTATCTTCAAAACGTCTTTATATAAATAACTTTCTCTTATCGTGGCATGTTAACATCTTCTGCACTTAATAGATATATTTTAAATTATGTTATTCATACTATTGCAACAGATGCACACCTGCGCTGTCACGCAATGTATCTACTCCGTGAGTTAAATCCAAATTTAACTTTTTGAACGTGACGACGTGAACCTGTGATTTATTATCGTAGAAATTTGATAATCTCTGATCTCATTTAAATTTGCTTTAATTATAGGATAGATTAAGTAGAGTAATCTTATTATAAGATATAAGAATGGTCTTCTTAAATGGATAAAATTTTGCATTAACAAATGAGGACAAAATATAATTTTATTCTATTGAATTCATAATATCAAATTATATCCAATTGGGTTTACTTTTAATACTTTCTGTAAGTCGCTCACTGCTCTTACTGAATATATCATTATATTAATTAAATTGTTTAACAATAGAATTAAACAATTTAAGTAAAAAATCTATTATATTTGTGTGTGTGTGTGTGACTCAAATTTAATTTATGATTTATTAATCTATATATGTTAATATAGACGTTTTTACCTTACAAATTAACCACAGAAATGGATTGATTTACATTTTGACACACATCGAAATTAAAATGAACAAAATGTTATTTATTTCAAGCGATTGGATTACTATTACTTCTTTCATATTTAGCAGTATAGACTGTATACTTGAAAAGATATAACGTCAATTTTATGTTTCAGAATTAAACATTTTCATTTTTGATTACAATGTTCAAGCGTTTTTGCAGCATTTACATACTGTGATAGTTTATATTAGGTGTTAAACTTAACTCCTGCCGTTTTTCGTCTCCAAAATTGATTTGTTTCGAAGGGAAAATGAATGAATACCTTAATCAAAGTAATTTCCTCCATTTTCTACTTTATTATTAATTAATAATACTTTGATTAAGATATTTCCCTTCGAAACAAATCAATTTTGGAGACGGAAAACGGCAGGAATTAAGTTTAACACCTAATAATTTCCGGGATTTACTGGAATTTGTACTTGTTAAAATGAATCTATCGAGGGTAATACTTCGTTAAATCGATACGGTCGCGATAACGAGTAGGCACACAGAAACAACGTACAAAGTGATTCGATTTCATATTTTAGCGTAAGTGATATTTTCGCGAAAGATAATGTCGCAGTGCGATACGTGTATCGTTCCCCAATGTAAAATCGCGATCTAACACTCGTGCAAATTTGCACGCGTGCAAAACACGACAGCATACACACGCGTTCAATGTCAACACCAACCGGTAAAACGCATGTACGATACCACCGCGAGCACGCGCGAGCGCAGTCGAACGTTTTCATAGATGATCGCGTGGTTAATCGCGAAATGATTAATTTCGCGAAAGTTACCGAATACGGATTAGCCCGGGATGGATAGTTTAATAATGAGTACAAACGCGCACATTGCAACGCCGATAGGACCGCAGCACTGTGAGTGTTACCATCACAACTGTGTTGTTACAAACTACAGCGTGCTGACATCGCGAAGCACAGGGCGCATGTCCGACTAATGTCAGCTATCCACCCTTACGACAGTGGATGATAGCCACCACTACCGTTGGGCGGACGATCGAAAAGGCACCCATGTACACATGACCGAGTCCCAAGTGTCGATTTACATCGATTCGCTTTAATAGTTTAATAGTTTCTTTCCGCTCCTACCTTTGCGGTCGGTGACGTAATCAAGAAAAGAGCGGCTAGACGTACAGAATCTCCAATATACAAGCGCGCGGATTTATGTACAGGATACAAGTTGCGTAAAACGTGACGTATTGCATGCTCTAGTGCGATACTAAAACGCTTTTAAGGAAAGCTTAAATGATATTTTAATAATACATTTACGATAACGATTTCTCCAAATAACGCGACGTGACGCCGACAGATTTTTAAACTAAATTAGATATAATAAATATATCTAATTTCATTTAAAATATATCGTCACACTTTTATAATTTTGTATTAACATG